AAAAAAAAATATCAAAGATTTTCTGCCCAGGCTGGCTTAGAACTGGGATTCTTTGATTTTATCAGGAAAGTCCATGAGACTCTTACCTCTAATTAATCACCAAAAAGCTGAAGTAGAAGCCAGGCTCTCATGGCTCATGCCTATAATCTAACTACTCGGAAGGCTGAGATCTGAGGATCATGGTTCAAAGCCAACCCAAGCAGGAAAGTCCATGAGACCCTTATTTCCAATTAACTACCAGGAAACCGGAAGTAGCGCTGTGGCTCTAGCGGTAGAGTGTTAGCCTTGAGCTAAAGAGCTGAGGGACAGCACCTATGCCCAGAGTTCAAGATCCATGACCAACAAAAAAAAACAGCCGAATTAGAGCTTTGGCTAAAGTGGTACAGCTCTAGCCTTGAGTGAAAAACGAAGGGACAGCACCCAGGCCCTGAGTTCAATTATGTGTGAGAGAAGGTAAGGGCTGGGGGTGAGGTATGGAGGGAGATCTAATTGAATATAGGCATGTGCCTATTCTAGCCAGGCTGGCGCAGGCATACACATCCATCCAGAAAATAAAAGCAAAATCGGTTGGAGGCATGGCTCAAGTAGTAGAGGGCCAGCCAGTGAACAAATGTATCAGATACTGAGTTGAGTCCTGATCTCAGACAACAAAGGGGGGTGAGCTGGGAATAGTGGTCCAAGAGGCCGAGCACCTGTCTAGTACAGGAGAGGAGGGGCAAATCTTGTTCATGTCTGTTTCTTGGCTCCTTAGAAACCAGCTGAGCCTAAAGCCGCCTTCTTTCAGGGACCCTAGCAATAGAAATATGTGTTATGGTAGCTCCAAAGCAGAGCCATTCTGGATTGGGCTGCGTAGGAGACAGCTGAGCGTTGTGGACTTAGGGGAGGCTGAGCAGGAGTCTGCCCAGTCATCAAGCAGTCTCATCACAGCTGCACCAGGGCACCCCAGGGCTTGCTCTTAAAACTTAAGTCCCTTAGGACCAAATGCTCTATCCCTGCTTATAATTTGTTCCACTGTGGTGTACATAAAAGTCAACATCTGGGGCTGGAAAGGTGGCTCATGGTAGAGCGCTAGCCTTGAGCTGAAGAGCTGAGGGACAACGCCCAGGCCCAGAATTCAAGCCCCACAACCGGACCAAAAAAAAAAAAAGATGAATCTCTCTTGTTGCTTACTGAATCACTAAGAGCTAATGTAACTTAATTGAGATCTCACAGCTTTGGTTAAGTGATAGCCAGGATCTGAACATGGAGTCTGACTTCAAAGACCATACATTTAGTTAATGCGCAAAATTGTTTCTAGATAAATTTATTCTGATTATCCAGCAACCCAGGCAATTGAAGTAGAATCCTTGAGATTTTCATGACAGCTCTGTCTTGGCTATCTAGTTTTCTAGTCTTAGGTCTTCCCTTTAAATAAACCTTTCATTTATTTACAAGTTTATATGTATGCCTAGATCATGCTCATGATTCAGTTTCACAAGATAGATCATTCAGTGAAATCAAATCTCCCATCAGACTTTCTTTCCTGAAATCTCCAAATGCCTTCCCAGCCCAAACCCTCTTCAGCTACATAGATCTTTTCAGAGGTAGTCGTCATGATTAGAAATGGCCTTGCTGTTTTGCTACCCCATAATAGTATACATGCTGTGAAGAGCCTCCTTGTGCTTTTAACCCTTGCCCAGGGATGCACCATAATCTAGGTACCTACTCCCTAAGAGTCTAAACAAGGCTCACTTTCTGTGTATATGCCAGCAGAAGGTCCATGTGTGCAAGTATATCCACAGGATAAGTTCCTAAAAGCAGAAGTGCTGTGTCAAAGGGTTGGAGCTTTTGAAATGCTGGCAGCTGGAACTAAATTGCTCCTCAGAGAGGATATGTGTGCTCTAATGCTCTCCTCAACAGAGTTTACTAAACTTTTGTGTTGTATGTGTGTGCTTGTATCTTTAAAAGAACCTGGTGGCTCACATCCATAAATCTAGTTACTCAGGCTTAGATCTGAGAGGATCACAGTTCAAAGCCAGCTCAGATAGGAAAGCCCATGAAACTTATCTCCTATTAACCACTAAAAAGTCCCCCCCCCCCTCAAGAATAGTCATGAACTGTGAGATCAAAGGGTCATTTTTTTCGGGATGGACATAGTTGGTTTCTGCATCTGTCTGCTGGTACTAAGAAACAAATGACAAGGGTTAATCCTTTTTTACATTTGCCCAGTGTAATCTACAGCAAATCTGTGCTTGCTTTGGGGCCCTATGAGTGGAAGTCCAGATCTGTGGTGTGATTCCTGCCCCCAGGCACCTGGTCTCCTGGGAGACCCAGGAGAAGTAGCTGTGTTGTGGCTGCTTTCTGCCACTAAGAACTGGAGAAGGAAGGAACAGGGCGAGTGTGGCTTAAATGGCTTAAAGACTCTGGGTCCTGTTAAATTCGATGACTGCCATCCTGGAATCCACCTGGCTGAGAGTAGAAAGTTACTACACCCGTGAGCCAGTGGATTCAGCACTCAACCTGAGCTGGAGCTTGTATCTGCACCTCCCTGCAGACTTGGGGTGCAGGAGGCAGTCTGCCGCCTGTGATTGGAGGGATAATGAACTCGGTAGTGTCGGCAGAGGTGATTGGCCGGGAGCTGCTGCAGTGAGAATGCAGCCTGGATGCTCGGGTCCTGGGCTTGGGTGAGGAACCGGGTGCTGAATGCCGGGGAGCTGGCAAGTTGCTTCAGCCTCCAGGAGAGGTCTGTTTTGGATATCACTTTTTCCTCTTGTTTTTTTTTTTTAAAAGCCAAACCTTTGATCACCGGCCACCTGCAGAAGGGCTTGTATTGGAGAAGCCCAGCTGCTCTCCTTGTCAGTCAGAAGCCCAGAGGCATCCTGTCCTCATCCTCGTAGTGAAGTCCTCAGGCCAGGAACGACTGCAGTGCTAGTGAGCGAATTTGCAAAAGCAGGAAGCAGTCTGTGCATGCGGAGCTTCCAGCCTGAGACCCCCCCACGCCAGCCTTCCAGGCAGCTGTTAGCCAGAGACCCTTGGTATTGTGGTCACGTCCCTCTGAAGTGAACAGCCACCACCCGTGGCATTTGGAAGAAACCAGCATGTCGCAGATGCTGGGGCATTTTCTGTCCAGCATTTTCCCGAAGGCTGGCTGCCAAGGCTCCAGAGAGGACACCAATCATGAAAGCAGAGGCACCCAAACTCCTGCTCGGGGAGACCAGACGACAAGCTTTTTGGGCAAACAGAACGGAAGGGCTGAGGCCACGGAAAAGAGACCCACCATTTTGCTGGTGGTTGGACCTGCAGAGCAATTTCCTAAGGTAATGATGGCATTCTTGAGAGAGAACCTCTGAGTCTGCAGGCTGTTCCAGGATCATTTCCTCAGAAAAAGATGGGGGGAGGAGAGGGACTTGAAATCAGTTGGGGCTGGGGGGGGGGCATGCAGTCAGAGTATTAGGCAGTGAAAAAGTTCTCAGGTTCCTTCTACAATCTTTCTGTGGCCACTCTAAACATTTTGCTGCCCACTAAGGCCACCTCAGGGTGGCCCTGAAGAAAGATTTGCCTTAGGATTGATCAGTTTTGCTTTGGAAAGCCCCTTCTTGAAAGTAAGGGATGATCTGAAGTATATTGTCTTAGCTTACCTAAACAGTCCAGACAGAACCAGCCGGAGGGTAATAGAGGGTGCCTTGGGCATTTCACCTAATGGCCTAAAAGCTAGGGACAGATCTTGTTGGCATGCCTAAGGTGGGACCCAGGTGTGCCTCTGTAGAACCCAGGTTACCTTGGGTCTGGGAGGGAGAGGGAAGGGATATGGTCAGGTCCCTGGAGAAGGTGGCATCAGGAAATGTACAAGCTGGCAGCCCTCTAGGAATGACACAGCCACTCCTCAGGGTCAGCCAAGTCCAATGGCATTTAGTCCTTCCTGACCCCTGAATTACAATATCCATCCACCTTTCATAAGAGCCAAGGTAAGACAGAATATTCCCACAGCCTGGATGACAAAACTAATGCAGAAAGGTTAAACAAGAAGAGCTAGAGATGAGATTGAACTCCACATATGTCTGGAGCTTTATCCTTTCCTACCTCACTCCCTCTTACGAAAGCAGTGCTTAGTGGAGCTAGCTGGGCTGCTCTCAGATTACAACAAATTAAAAATGGGCATTTGACTGAGATTTGTCCTCTCTGCATAGGTGCGACCTCATTCACCTCCTGGGCTTTGGTTTTTCTGAATCTTTTCTATTCACAGTAGTGGGGATTTTACCCTATGTTTAGCATATTGTACATACACTCCCAAAATGTTCATGGAGTTGAATGGCTATATTTAATCAATGCCCCCTTTACCTTGTTGAGTAGAGAGGGAGTAGAAAGGTTGCTGTAGCAACCTTTGCATCAGGTAAGCTTTGACATTGAGGAGAATCTACACTGCTGAACTCTACGGTGTCAGGCCTTAGAGCCGGGGGTGTTATGCTTGAGGTGGTCAAGCTGAATGAGCCCAGGGAGGGTCACGTTCCACCTTTCACTCGATTTAGAGAAGATCAGAAATGGAGCTGGGCTCTGGTGGTGCATGCCTATAATCGTAGCAATTCAGGGAGGCTAAGATCTAAGGGTACTAGTTTGAAGCCAGCCCAGGCAAGAAAGTCTGTGAGACTCTTAGTGCCAATTAACCACACAAAAAAGAAAAAGACCAATGGTGGGGTTGTGACTTAAGTGGTAGAGTGCTAGCCTTGAGCACAAAAAGGACAGCGTCCAAGCCTTGAGTTCAAGCCCCAGGACTGGCATGCGTGCGTGCACACTCACACTCACACACATACACATACAATCAGAAATGGTGATAGCACTAGTTTTTATAAGGAACATTTTTATCTATAGCCCTACTTTCCTTATGGCCTGGATTGGCTGGCTTTTAAAATCACTTTTTTTTTTAAATGACCACTTTAATAATTAACTGCTCCATTTCCCAGCTCATATGGGCACTTCTTGCCAGCTCTGCCCCAGGGATTGCCTCGGGTAGGACTTGCTGTGCTGATCAGCCTCTTTCCTAGCCTACAGAATCAAGAGATCCAGGGATCCCTCACTTGGGGGATGGGTTGGCGTCGATGTATTGGAGGAGCGAAGGGACTTAAGCAGCTGGTTTGAAGCAAGGGAGGAAGCACATCTGAGCGGTGTAGACTCTTTCAAAGCAGATAAACTGAAAAGGAGCAGTGTAGCCCAACAGGCATGGAAGATGCGAATACCAAGTGCCCTGCTTTGACCCTTATGTCAGAAGGAGGCCCCCAGAAGGCCCTGGAAACCTTACAGAGAAGTTCTTTGGTTCTCAAGCTCCTCATTGTCCAGTAGCACTACTTTATTTCCCTCTCACTTCCTCCATGTAAATATATCTGTCTGAGTCAGGTTCCTTCCTGAAAGCTTTTAATTCTAGGAACTGTTCCAATTTTCCTTTTTATCTTTGTCTTATAGTTAATCTGCAGTTGGGAAAGAAAGCCACCAGTCTCAAGTGGGAGGTGGCCTCACGGCATTGGAGCTTGCAAATCCTGAGGGGCTGTCTTCTCTAAAGCTCAGAATTTTGTTCATTGTGTGTGTAATTGCCAAGTGTAGGCCGGTTTCACTGGAAACCCGTTACACTGGGCTGTCATGGCAACCTGATCATCAAAAGACACTGCAGCCGCAGCAGCCAGTGAGATTAGAGAGCCTTGAAGGTGGGTGGTGCTTGTGAGCCTTCATTTATTAATCTTTCTGCCTTGGTCTGAGTCATTGCAGAGGAGGGAGGAGTCACATTCTGACTTAGTGCTACATTACCAACACCGTACCTGCTCTGTTCTTTACACATAGTATTCCAGCCCTTACAGGAAGTACCTGCTGGGTTCTTTTGTTTTGTTTTGGTGCATAATAGACAGATCTGCAGTGGAAAAATGCTAGTGAGATCTCCTTTATGGATGAAGTGGAATCTGACGCCACTGAATTCTACGGGATCTAGTGCTAGTCATTGTTTCCCTATAGTAGTCGGAGGAATAGACATCTGAGGAGAAGAAACAAATAGATCTGGGTCACAAAATTAGAATAAATAAAGAGGGCAGCGAAGAATCTTACTGTGTGCTGTTCCCTGATCTTGGAGAGCTGGGAGCTAGGGAGATGTCAGGAATAGAATCCAGGTCTGATGCTGGTGCTTCATTGTCCTCCCCACCTGGCTTTCAAAGCTCTAGTTTAGCTAAGGCTAAACTTGCTCAAGTTACACCTTTCTACCTATCTTCCCATATGCAATGTTGCTGACAGCAGGTCTCAGTGTCAGGCTTCCAAGAATTCTTCCAGAACTGAGCTCCCAAATCTCCTCGCTGAAGTATCAGGTTGGAAGTTGCTTTAAGTGGATGTTGTAACAAGAGCCTGGGCCTGGCTTCAAGCCCAAGCTCTGTCACCGACAGACTTGGGACTTGAGCAAATGAGGTTCTCTCTCCAGGTCTGTTTGCTCAACTTTTGGGTCATGTTGCTCATGGGATGACCCCAGACCCCTCACTCAAGGCTGGAGCTCTGCCACTTGAGCCTCAGCTCTACTTCCAGCTTTTTTTTTTTTTTTTTTT